GAAGAGAATGTGCATACCCAAACATGCTAAGTCCATGCCTCAGGAAACTGTCTAAGCTCTCCTAACCACTAGAAAGAGACAGACTTTGCTGCTGAAATAACATTAAGAGCCTGTTACTATAACAGCAAAGGCTCATTTGTTAGCATTACATATCTAAATACCATCTGAAAACCATGGCTCGTTCTGATTAAGCAAGGTCTTGTAACAGTGTAACATTTCAAACACTTTACATCCACCGTCATGTGTAGGCCCCTTTACTGTATATCTGCTGTTTGCAACCAAGCAACCTTTCTAGTGTGGAGTTACATTTCATGTTGCAATGAGCAGATTTGTTATTGTGCCTTAAACAGATTTGTTTTTACTTGATCTGAGCCTGTATGTCAGAAGTTGTTGCATTAGCATTATGCAGGAAGAATATCATTCGAAGAGGGATTTTACCATCTGAGTATATCTGCTTTTGTCGTCAGGTTAGAATACTGTAGGACTGTTTGACAGAGATGTCGAACAGGTTTCTAACATGAAAGAGGATATGAGATCTCATTTAGACTGCCAAGACTTGCAAAGGTTCTGCTAATTCAGCTGTGTCTGCGCCACACAAGGCGATAGGATAAGGCACCTGGCTTTTGCTTAGACAGGCCTTAGATGTCTCTGTAATCCGGAGAGACAGCGAGGGCAGGGCTCAAACTTCTCGTTAGATTTAGCCCAGAACACAACAACATAATCATGTCATTACCCTTGGGCCATTCGGCCACATTGTTGTTGCGGGTGGGAGACACTGGATTTGATTTCAGCAGACTTAGCTGACCTCTGCTTAATGCCCCACCAGAACAGGGGAACTACAGCGGGCCGTCCTCCACTGGCACTTGGCCTAGCCAAACATTTTAACTTTCATAGACAAAAACAAAACCGTTTCGCCTTTCTTTCCCCCATTTCTCCCAAAAATATATTTTTTCATAGCACATTGGAAAGGACATGGTTCTACTACTTCTCGGTCTTGCGATTTTGTGCTGCTGTTGCAAAATGCTGCCAAAAAAATCCTCCGCCCACCCCCTTCCTTCTTTCTGCTCCAGTGTTGATTATTTTGCTTTTTGTCTTTTCTTTCCTCCTAAATGTGTTATTCATCCTGTGTGTGTCTCCAGGCACACTTCAGAACTGGATATAAAATAAACAGTGGAGTTTTTTTTACCCCTGTCACTAGGCCTTGACTGCATATACCTGTAACAATAAACGGTTGTGTTTCTGGGCTAGTTTATACTCATCTCTAGTCGTTTGAGGACAGAGGCACAACAGGAACTGGACTGTGTGAATGGATTTGCTAAGGCAGACGCCCACTATGAAGCATAGGGCTGGTGGATGCTACTAGACCATGATAGAGCGGAGGCTGCTGGCAGGTAGTGTGCACTCTCTGGCAGAGCGGAGGTTTACCTTGGAGTGACACCAACCATCTGCATGCTATAAGGACTAAATTGCCAGCTTGATGTCCAGCAAGCAAGACAAAACCGTTCCACATACATGAGTGTGTGTGTGTTTGTGTGACTTTGTGTAAATATGTATGGCTGTGTAAGAGACTAGACAGAGACAGAAATATTAAGACAGAGCATAGACAGACACTGCTGTACAGTAGCCATTTCATATAAAAACCCTAATGTTTGGTCAGTTTCCATTTTACTGCCTTGTTTAAAGTTAAACCTGCTCTTAGCAATGTTTTTTGCCATCAACAATGGATTCAAATGACCTATTAGAATGTGATCACATAATGAAATACGTACTCATTTGTTGTACTCGGATTGAGACTGCTATTTTTGTTCTGTTGTTTTTGGTATGTTTTCTATTAATTGTAGGACTTTCCCTTTTATCAACGTTTGACTGTTGAAAAAAAAAAAAAAGAACGTGAAAGGCGTTACTCACAGTGATTACCCAGCAGAAAATGTAGACTGACTTCGCAGTTCTCCCTAGCTATATTGAGCCCTTCGGCTTCTGGTTTTGGTTTACAAAAGCTGGCCACTATTTTCAGCTCTAAAAGCAACTCTCCACTACCTTCTCAGCACCAAACAGCAGAAAGACAAAGTTGTAGCTGGTGAACGAAAGTGGGGCCTTTGGAAAATTAGAGCTAGATCTCGTTCCGCAGGAGTTGGTGACCAACACAAGTGAATGATATGCTATTTCCCTGGTTGTGTAAATAGGCATCGGTTTCCTAATATGTTCACCATAACAACTGTTTATGAGGAGCTGCCCAAAAGTGGTCGAAGTATGGCACATTTAAGTCTGACACATTTTATATTTCCTATTATTTACATTGGAGAATAAAAATATTCTCGCTAATGCAGTACGAACTGATAACCTAAACCAGCTGTATGCCACTGACCTCTATTGCATGATGTGTTGTCCTAGGATCAGGTCCATTGGGTATTCTGCTTGTATCCACGTCCTCTTCTTCATTCAGTTTCATCATCTTCTCTGATCAGCTCTGTCTCAAAAAAGCAGATATGACAGACAATCAATCAGGGTGTACACTGTACACTGTGCAGGGTTACCTTGAGAACTGGCAGTTTGTGCTATAAATGTCTAGCTGTAGCAAATTCACCAAATCTAGTTGGGATTATGGGTTGGCCCACACACGACCATCATGGTCTAGTCAGGTATGCAGTGAAAGTCTCGTAAATAATCTTCCAAGCGTCTCAAGACACAACAAGCCGGACAGACGCCTTTAATTCACCTGACAAGAAAATTAAGAGCCTTCATTACCTTTTACTCATCTAGGGGGAGCAAACTTTAACAGCTCAGACCTTTACAGTGTGAATGTCGCTGGGCCAATCCCCAGCCAGCTCTGGGGTTCTGATTAGTTTTCCAGAAGGATGTGGGACTCACAAGTGTGGCAGCTGCTTAAAATAAAGTGACAATATTTAATGGGGTTTCAAACCTCAGCGAGTCACTGCATCCTGCCAAGCCCAAAGCGATGGCACACACCCAAACCCTGGCTTTATCGAACAGGACATGGAGGAGAGAGCTTGTTCTCTCAGCTCGGTGCCATTAGGAGGTCTGGGTGCAGTCAACCATTTATAGTTTTTAAAAGGTAAATGCGCTCCTAGACAATCAATTGCATCAGAAATATCCTGTAAAGTCGAGTTAAACCTAACAGGGTCAGGTCAATTTGTGAGGTCCTGGCAAAGCTGTTTTCATTACAGTGATAAAATCCTAATGAGAAACATTCTCTGAAGGTTTTTCACTTCATATGGGACCAGTGATTTTGATAGTCTGCTTCTCTTGCACATTGAAATACAAAAGGATGTGACTTTAAAGCATTGTTTTTTTTATTGTCTATTTCTTTTTTTTATCTTTTAACTTTTTAATGCTATTTTATTTCTATTTCTTTTTTCACAAGTCTTTTTATTTCATTATAGTGTACAGTAATCGATGCCATTTCATTTATATTGTAATATCACAGTACACTCACTACACTCCCCCCTCCCTCCACCCGCACATGCCCACACGGGCGAAACCAAAAAAAAAATGCGTATCAATATAACTTAAACAACAGAGCCATGAAAATAAACATAAAATGGAAAAGGAAAAAACAGAACAAAAAAGAAAAAAGAAAAGAAAAACCTACATCAAAGTAAAACAAACAAATAATTATACAATACAGCGACAATGTAGACAATGACAACACCACAACTAGTATTTCCGGCCGTCAGGAAAAATAGCCACAGAGTGCACCATTCCATCACTGGTCATATCTCAGATATATTTTCCAAATAAGAAAACAATGGCAACCACAGAGCTTGAAAAATATGTCCACGATTATATTTTTCCAATGTCATTTTCTCCAGAGGTAAAAAATGTGTTATCTGATCAATGAAAAGTTTAAATGTTGGGGGAAGTTCATTCTTCCAGAGTAAAAGTATACATTTCTTGGCAAAATATGTTATTGTGATTAGTATTCTGTAATGTTTGGGGTTCAGTTTAAAGTTTGGCATGTCATTTAACAGGAAAAAACATGGATTTAGGCTCATTTCGATGTCTAAAACGGCTTTTGTGAGAGGATGAATCGAATCCCAGAAATGTTTTCAAGAGATCACATTCCCAAAACAGATGCATAAATGTTCCTTCTTTTACTTTACATCTCGGACATTTTGGAGAGTTTTCTTTGGAAATGTTATGCATCTTTATGGGTGTGAGGTCAAATGTGTTGATGATACATTTAAAGTTTGCTTCTTTGATTTGATTGCTTATGAATGGAAAATGTGTTCTTTCACAAATATTCAGCCAAGTAGTTTCATCTATCTGTATCTCTATAAGTCCTTTCCCCAGATATTTTTTAAAGTTGGAAAGGATGACTGAGCTCTTTTAGAAAAAACTGCATTAAATTCTCTAATTCTACCTTTGATCGTGCTCGATGACATCAATATCTCCTCCTCTTCCAACAATCCCGATCTCAATTTATTGCTTTTAATAATTGATTGGATCACGTTCCTAATTTGCAGGTATCTGAAAAAATCCTTATTTGAAATGTCATATTCTGCTCTTAAATCATTAAATGATTTCAATGTTATATCTTTGTGAAATGTTTCAATTGCTTTATACCTGATTTCGTCCATTTGTTATATTGATTGACAACAAATATTTGCTAAGATCAGGATTGTTCAAAATAGAAGTAAATATTGAAATACCAGAGTTAACATGAACTTGTTTTGTACAGTCCCTCCAGGCTAAAAGTGTATTGACCACTGTAAAACATTTGGCCATATTTTTCACCTTATTGAAATCTTTAACAAATATAAGAGTTTCCACTGGCAACGGGTCAAAGATATTGGCTTCTATCTGAACCCATAGTGAATCCTTTCTTCCCAGAGACCAAGATAGTACATTTCTTAATTGAGCCGACCAGAAGTAGTGTTGAAAGTTGGGAAGACCAAGACCCCCCATAGTTTCTGGTTTCATAAGAGTAATAGGCTACATGCACAGTCACTTCCGCATTCTACTCATAGCGACCGATTCATTTCCTGTTTGAAAATGACGACCTTCTACACCCGCTGCCTACAAGAGCTTCCGAAATTAAAAATGTCAGATGTTCATCGGATTTGCCGGACGACTAAAGCCCCAGCCAGCAAACTCGATAAAGGCTTCAAATTATATGCTGCGTCATATATACACAACTATGAAGGTAAGAAGGTAACCGGTACTAACCAGCTAGCTTATGCTCCGGGTTACGCTAACATTAGCTGTCAAAAGCTAGGTAACGCCAGAGCCCTATAGTATAACTACTATTATTATTATTATTATTATTATACTACTACTATAGTAGACTACTATAGGGCTCTGGGTAACGCTATGTACTGTTTCTGGTGTTAATTATTTAAAACATTAGCCATTTTGCTAACAAATACTATCGTTTAATAGCCTTATAGCCTCACTGCATAATGGTATCAGCTTTTGTAAAGCAATGTTGCCATAGATGTTTTGACGTGAGTATAGATCTAACGCTGTTGCTCTGTTTTTCTTCATTCAGTGTCCAATAAAGACAGGCTGACAGGGCAGGTCAGCGTGAGAGCCTTGTGCTACAGGTCAATGCGGAAGAGCGAGACAGCACACAGTTTGAGTGTAGGCAGGCAGCATTGACACTGTTCCCCCCTGTTTATTGAGTTTCAGTTCAGTTAAACATTAGTTTACCTTAAGGGAATCTCAACAGTGTCCTACTTCTCCCTGCTTTATCACAGCTGATTGGTCAGATATTATTACATTGATTATGGATGTGTAAGTTTGGGGGTTAAAATATATAGTCAAAACTGCTTTAATACAATTTTCAAGGCATCTTAGTTTCCAAAGAAAGTTCATTGTGGTATTGTAGGGTAAGAGGGTAACACTAAGCATTCAGGAATACATGCTTCTTCTAGGATAATGGGTCAGTAAAAATAACCAATAATTCTACTCATAACCTCCTGGCTCATAGTAACAAGTGAGGTTACTAATCACTAGTATTTCTTCTCTCTTTTTTAGATAACGCTTCGTGATTCATCACCAGTGGTGCTCACGCACAACCAGTGCTCCTGTGTTGCAGGAACTGTTTTGTGCAATCACACAGTAGCATTGCTGTTCCAAACAGCACACTACACTGAACTGAACATGCCAGTTGTGCCACCTGTGCATAGCTGTACTGAATCGGAACAGCAATGGCACAAGCCGCGAACAATGGTAATTTCAATGAGGTTCAAATACTTGTAATCTTTCACAGAGTTTTTGTTTTAAAGTGACTCAACGAACAGTAATTGTCTTTTCCTTAAGGGTGTGAAGCCAGGGCCCATCAACTCCATGGTCTTCACCAAGCCTGTACCAAATAGGATGGTGCAGACGTAAGGTAATTTTAGCTGGAAAATTGTGTTTCCTGTATTTTTAAAATTCATAATTCTGGTGCTGTATTCCTAACCTTTATTGTCACATTAATGTGCTATATTGTCTTTGCCATTCTTTGTAGGAGTGGATTCTACAGAGGCATGGTGGGGGCATTACCAGATCCCTGCCTGTTCAGAGTTACGGAGGCATACTCAGCATTCAGCATTGAAGACAGGCCGCTTGTGACCACAATGAACATGAGACCTGACAAGCCCCTTGTGGAAAGTGCCTTCGGGATTGTGCAGGAGGGCAGTGTTCTGTCCTATCAGATGCCTGCTTTGACGTCTCGGTACACCACACTTCACACTGACACACCACCAACACCCCACTTGCCCATAGAGGGGTATGTGATCTTGCCATGTGATTTACCGCTGGTGTGCTCAGAAGAGGAGCAACTACATATGAACAGCTTATCTGTTGATTTGGAAATGTCTCACAAAATTGAGGAGGCTACCCGTGAGCAAAGCTCTAGCTCAGAGTGGCATCTGCTCCGCAAACCCAGGGTTACTGCCTCTAGGTTTAGAGAGATTTGTCACGTCAGAGGTGAGAGCTCTGCTAACTCTCTTGCAGAGCGAATACTCAAAAGGTACAAGGCAGACTGCAGAAATGAGGAGAGGTGCCGAGATGGAGCCCACAGTAGCAGCTGAATACAGTAGACTGGCAAACGTGAACTACTCCCCTTGTGGCCTTGTCATTCACCCCTCTACGCCCTGGCTTGGTGCCTCCCCTGATGGAGTTGTTTTTGACCCAACAGAATATCCCCAATTTGGCCTTGTTGAATTAAAATGTCCCAATGTCCCAAATTATGTCGACTGCAAATATGTGCAGATAGAATGTGGCTCCCCTAAGCTCAAGAAAAGCCATGCCTATTACTGGCAAGTACAGGGTCAACTTCTTGTATCTGGGATGCAGTGGTGTGATTTTGTAGTGTGGGCACAAGAGGACTACCTGGTGCAAAGAATATACACAGATCCAGAAGTGCAAAGAGCAATCAGAGAAAAAGTAGACTTTTTTTTTTTTACACATACATGCCGAAGTACCTGTCATTAAAAAAGTAGTGGGCACTGTAGCCATTGTTAACTCTGTAAGCAGTTAGCTGCTAGACCCTGGATCAGCCATCATTGTTTTTAGGAGGCAATCCCTCAATCATGTGTTCTGAATGACAACAAAATGTGATTTCAATATTTTGTTTTTGATATATATTGTTTGTCACATTTCATATATGTAAATAAATATACAATTGTATTTAAAGGAATGGTATGCTCATGACACTCATTTAAAAAAAATGATCATCCGATAAAACAGACCAGTCTCTGCCAGTCTCTCTGCCAGTCTTTTTTATCCGATGACATTATCAGTGATTTTAAACTGATTAATTACCGAAATAACATCAACACTGTGGGCGGTGCCATTTTACCGGACGTGACGTAAACCATGCGTTTGGTTTCGAGGACACATTGATGTTCATGTTATTTACTGTAGTTACTCTCTTCAAATATGCCTCATTGTATCGCGAAACATTGGCACAATTCTGATAGGAACAATCCACGGAACGCTCGGTTCCATCTGTTGCCAAAAGGTAAGCGTAGGAAGTACGTTCGGAGGTAGTGGCTAGCGAAATGTGGCCGGCCCGAACCGAAAGATCCACAGGCATGTATGCAGCGAACATTTCAAGTTTCCGGACGACTACTCTGAGAGTATGATAAAACATAACATGGGATTTATTGAACAACCATTACTTAATGGAGATGCAGTACCATCGGTCTTTCTGGTGTCATCACCGACCAGGACACCAGTTCGGCCAGTTGAGAAATCGCCCTCTGCAAGTGTGAAGCGACGGAGGACCAGAAGTAGTGCTCGGAGTAAGAATAAGGTATGTTATGGCGCATTTCCATTGCAGCGGGTAGCCCCGTTGAAACGTCCTTTATCGTCCAGGCCAGGCCAGTTTTTGGTGGCCTTTCCATATAGCGTAGTACCGGCTAGTGGGTATTTCCCCCCAGTTTTTCCGGCCCCATAAAATCGTGGTTCTAGGGCCAGGGACAACGAGGCTGAGTATGCTAAACTAGAGAGGGAATCGCTAGCAAGGGTGGTACTACATGCATACATATCTAGTAATCAAAATCATTGTATCTACTAAGTAGTACTAAGTAGGCTCGAACCTGTATGGCTGAATTCCCCCTTCCAATCTCTTCATATTGCTCAAAACTTCGCCATGTTTTCGTGTGTTTACAAAGTGAACGCATGGATGACGTCACGACCATCACGTGACTACTGAAAATGGGCAAAATGGCAGCGGCCTGACGGAATATACAGGTTTTGATAAAAAAGAGCTATAAAATCATTATTTACCGGGGAATATCGCTGATTTCTTCAGGGTATGGTTTAAACATAATGTTTCACTAAATACTGAAGTTTTGATTAATTATCTAATGAGTGGAGCATTCCTTTAAAAAGACAATAAAGTGAAGTGATTTGTGTAATGAATAGTAAATCATTGCATTTGTAAGAAATCATCAACGCATTGTAATTTGCTATTTACCATTTATTCAAACAAAACACTAGCGTGTGTCAGGCAACACGGGATTACGGTGTGCTCACCCAGCTTAATCACAGCTACCTGCACAGGTGTCATCATCTTGTCTTATTTCACCCATTTCTTGACCAGTGCTTTGTTCTGATAGTTTGACAGCATACATGCTACTGCAAACAGTTGGTTGATGTTGTAGGCATGGGACAGGAGGATGACACCATCAAAAAGTTTGTTCTCTTTTATCCTCCTAATGACACGCTCCACATGAACCCTCAGTCTGGCAATGGCCTGTGTCTCCCTCACCTGATAGGCTGGCATTTGCTTCTGCTTTGACAGAAAAGGTGGGCAGTACACCTTGCATTTGCAGCAATCGCTGATCAGGAAGCCCTTATCTACCATCACTGCCATGTTTTCAGTCAACAACGCAGCTATTCCAGATTGTTTGAAAATCTCCTTGTCGCTGACAGAACCACCAAACAGACTGGAAACAAATGTCACTGCGCCATGTGGGGCTATGCCAACCAGGGCTTTCATGGTGCAGTGAGATTTGTATGTAGAATACATTTCACTTTGGAGGAGGAGTGAGGATGGTGTTTGACACCTCAGCTCTGTGCAATCCAGGATCACCTGTGTGTCTGGGAAATCTTTGAATGCCTCTGGGAGGTGGGCTTGAACTTCTGCAGGTGTAAGCCAGATGCACTGTGACCCCAATAAAGTTGTAAGAAAACTCGTCCATGTTGCAATGATGCGGCTCACAGTGGACTGGTGTACGTTGAAGCGGTTTGCAAGGTCCCTCTCTTTCAAACCCACCGACAGGAAGCAGAGAAAAAGGAAGAACTCGTCAATTGGCTGAAGCAGCTGTCTCTGGAAGATAAACAAAAAAAGGGTACTATATTAATGTCATGAGTGTAGCACACCATGGGAAAAACATTAAGTTGTTTTAGTTCTCTGATGTATTCAAAAAGGATTGAGTACTCTAGCCTTTTAGCCTACACGAAAGCAATGAAATGTCAGAGAAACATTTTCCCTTCAGTTTGTGTTTAGATTGTGTGTTAAAAGAAACGTAGCCTACCGTTGATGGACGTGCGTGTGTAACCACTTCTTCATTCCTCTTGGCAGCTGATATCGCTCTTGTAACACGAACCATTTTATAAATGGAAGGCTCAATCAAAAACCAGAAGGCCATCAGGTGGTTATAGCTCGGGAATCTGTACACAAAAGACACATGTCAGTCATTAATTGACTCGTTAACTGTAACACATGGGCTAATGCTTTCCTCTTGTTTGCTATAATACATTACAATTCAAATAGACTGATTAAGAAGGCACTTGGTGCAGGTATAGTAATATACAGCAGTAACATGTAACAACTACATTAAAGCAGCAGTAATAATAATCTAAAACATACAGGGAACATTTTACACAGAATGACTACTTTTACTCTTCATTCTTAAGTGTGCAACTGGGAGAAACGCAGTGGATATTGACATGTACTTTGGTAAGATTTTGAAGATTTCCACTTGTAGTAAAGTATTATCAGTATGTTGCTAGTATTAGTATGTTTTACTCCACCACATTTAGTTAACCTTCATAGTTTCTAGTTACTTATGAAAACACATGATTTATGATTCTACATGTTCAGTTCAGGAGTATTTTCAAACCATAGTATTTGTACTTATACTTCAGTTAAGTTGAGTAGCCTACTTATTCCAACACTGCATGCAAATAGTCAGCAGTCAAACGGCAGGTAAACAGGATTCTTTATAAGCTAACCCATCTCAAAAACTTGGATAGAATTTAGCCAAAACATTACCTGGTATAGAATCGGATGTTGTCGTCGGAGCCAGCAAACCGCTGTAAGCAAAACTCTCGCTGGACTCTTAACTCCTGCAGATCCTCCACTGTTTTGGAGTTGTCTTCTGTAGCTTGAGAGGACATGTCCAGTGAAGCTGGTTCAGGGGTTGAGCAGTAATCATGGTCACGGACATCGATGTGCTCTTCCTGCTCCTCCCGAGAGACTGGTTCAGTGGGCCGCTCCCTTCTCTCCCAAACACTAGCCCGCGCCGGTGTTTGAGCAGTGAAGTGATTCCACTCAAACAGAGTTGGGACAGCACCTTTCACAAGCCTCCTACGGCCATCAAGGGTTTTTGGCTCTATTAGTTGATCCGTAGCGAAGTGACGACTGCAGACCTTGGAGTGAGAGGAGATTGTAAAGTTATCGCGTCGTATTTTAACCAGCCACTGTCTTCGCAGCTCGAGTTCGGTCGGAAAGCCATGGAAACTTAGGACGCCGTTGAATTTAGCTGACGCCGTACAAAGTGGAACACAGCAGTGCTCGGAGTCGTTTTTTACTTGTCTTTGCAAATGCTCCGTTTTGAAAATCTTCCGTCGACTCATATTTAAACCACAGATTTAAACAGTAAAACATTT